AAAGAAATTAAAAAAAAAAAAAAAAAAAAAAAAAAAAAGAAAAGGGAAGAAAGAACGCTCGGGTATGGGGAAGGGGAATCAGAGATACACTGCTTTACTTTTCTGTGCTTAGAAGTCAGTGAGCTAAAAAAGCCATGGAAAACAGTGCACTGCAAAAAGGGGGGGAAGGATTGCATGCAATGTGCCTGATATTGTTTCCCTCTTTTGCAAGTCATGGAATATATAAGAATACTCCAATGGAAAAAGGAAATTAATTTGAAAACTACTTGAAGAGTCTGGAAAAGCTTACCGGCACAAGTTGCAGCTCACATAGTTGGCATAAAGTCACATGTGCCTTAAAAGAACAAGTTGGGCTATCAACAAAAGAAATCCTCTGTCGGCCAAACAAGCAGGATCCATGTCACTTTCTACACCATCAGTTCTTTGTCAGTATCAGGCAACAGCTTATTGGGCAATGCCATCACATCTTTATGGACTCTTAAGACTTAGAAGGTATCCAAGGTGAAGATACCCAAAAAACAGTAACATCAAAGAAAGCAGTAAGATAGACATAAGTTAACAAAATTTCACCATTTTACTTCACATGGATAAGTTCTCCACGTCCATAGAAGGGTTGAAACTCAATTGTTTGAGGGGTGGGGGGTGGAATCACAAAGTAATAGTGAAACTAGATATTCAGATACAGAACAGGGAAATTAGAGTTCACAAAAATTACATCTATGCACCATCCGGTTGGATAAAGGGGTTAGCAATCTCATCTGTACCATCAACTGGAGACACGAGCATTACAGCAGTCCCCCTGCAAACCTGCAGTGAATAGTATGCATATTGATCACACAGGCTCGTTACTAAAGAAAAGAAACTATGAACAAAGAAGCACGCCATTTAGAGCATTTCCTTTCTCCTTTTACACATGCACGCTTAAGAAGAGCCAAGCTCTCACTTTTTCCTCGTGATAAAATAATTTAAATTATCACAAGAAATGGTTAACCATGCCCTAACCACTAAAATTCAAAAAAAAATAAAAAGTTCAGAGTGAATCAGTAGTATAAATAGTTCGCAAGTCAGTTTAAAATGGTGCATGTGATAGCAGATAAGAAAAATACAAGTATTCAAAGGATAGAAACATGCTCAGCCGGAGCACACAGTATTTCGTCCAGTCCATAAAGGAGAAGTTTTCAAACAGAAGTAAATTATGATGCCTTCTTTTTTCTTGTTAAAAGAAAGGATTATTTAAAAACAAAGAAAAACCCTGAAATTTTCACGTTAATTGAGACCATCTAATCTGTTTAGCGCACAGACAATTGCAATTGTCAAAATGAAGTCCTTAGTGGCATGCGTAAACAATAAAATTCTGTGCTAAAAAATTGATAAAAATTTTCGTTGTATCCAAGGTGTAAGAATTATACAATTAGGCCAAGGCGCCTGGTTTGATCTGTTGTCTTCAATGGATCATCGGAATCTGCAGAAAAGAAAAAAAAAACTTTAGTCAATATATCAGATATTTTCTGCAGCGCCATCAAAAGCATAGCAGGAACAGGTATAAGGACAATATTTGAATTTAAGGTTCGTAATGAACAGAAGGTAAAAGGCCATTATAAAAACAAAAGATATAAACATAACTAACTAGCCGGTCAGTAGAAGAGACTTTGGAAATAAAGAAAATGGTGGACAAGATAAATATCAAAACAATAGAAGCACATAACCACCAATAAAAGCAACTGAATTGAGGAGCACAAAAAAAAACTTGCCTTGGGGGAAAGATCCTCTGAAGGTTGTTAGTATGTGTAATAGGAACTATGATGCCAATAAAAACAGTTTCCCAGAGTCAGGACTATATTGCATTTCCATGCTTGTGTTTCTTGATCTAATTTGTAAGTTCATGCTTGGTGAATGAGACAGTAAACGGAGGTGCAAACCCAGATGAAAGTCCATGAATTCATTACCACTTCCTAAATGAATCTTTTACTACCATTATATGATTTCTTTACACACCCTAGAATGTTAGGAAATGCCTCTCCCAGGCTATTTGGAAGGCTAGGGCTACAAAGATGGTCTAGTTTGTTCTTTGAATCTTGGTGCAAGAGCATACCAACACCGTGGATAGAATTCAGAAGAAGCTCCCTAATAAAGTATAGTCTCCTAAATGGTGCATTTTTTACAAAGGAAATTAAGACTAAAAGCATTTCCCACCTATTACGTTCTGGAATAAGCTATGGAAGTTTCCGACCTTCAATGGTGCTTCCATAACAAATAATCAGGTCTTGTGCCAATGGTCCCTGCAAGCATGTCAACTAGGATATAACTGTTCAAACCCAACAATGCTTTTTTGTGGGGAGCTAAGGAAGGAGAGACACAGAAAGATTACAAAGACAAGTTTTGGAGCTTTGAGACTCATTTCATCTAAATACCCTAACCTTATTGGCCTATTGGAAGATGAGGTTGCTTATCTTCCTCTTTTGTCCCCGCCTTTTGTATGAATTCGATTACTTATCATAGCATGTATTGCACATGCATAAATTTTCATTCAGAATTTCATTTATGCCTATAAATTGATTAACCATCCAATTACAAGTAACAATAGAAAGAAAAAAGGGGGGTTTTCAAATATTGTGACTCAATAATATAGATTCTCATATTTTTGTAACTTCTATTTAAATGAAATCTTATAATAGAGTGTAAGTATACAAAATGTAAAAATTTATACGATGTAAGGGTTTTACAAGATAATAATGCAAATTGAGCATTCTAATTTATGCAATAGCCTACTACTAGTTCTTAAATATGTCCTAGTTTCGAAATAAAAATAAAATAAAATGATGATTTATATGTTTCATCATATCAATGACATGTCTGTTTTCTTTTGAAAAAAACAAACATATCCATTGAAAATATGCTTAAGGAAAGCATGTATAACAAAATCCATACTTCAAACGAAACATTATTAACTACACTGCCACATCTTAATCAGCTGAACAAAAAGAAAAGAAACCTTTTTCTGTTCTTGCAGAAAAATTGTTAATTTGTTATGTTCCTTATAATTTAAATTCTTAATTTTTGCATCTTTGTCCAATATAAAATGATGTTTTTAGTACAAGTTACAAAAAATATGGGGCATGAGGATTTGAATCTCTAACCTCAAAGGAAGAAGTACATGGCAATTACCATTGAGCTATGCTTACTTTGGCCCAATGTGAAAGGATTTTCAGTCTCATTTTCAATGATTATTTTATTTTTTTTTCTGGAATTACGTTTTTTTTTTACCACTATCAATGTGCCTATGTGCATCCCCAGCATGTGTTAGAATGCCAAAAAGACCAACAAAAATAAATTTCAAAATTATTTTTCAAGTGCAACAGATGATAGAGAGTGTCGGTCTTAAGAGTTCCTCGGATCACATTATACCTCTCAACAAATAGAAAAATTGTATGAAAGCTACTAATCAATAACTCGGCAAACGTTAAGTCTATGCACTACAAAACATCACAAATCTCATCCATTCTGCCAGTATCCAGTAAATTGGTTACCTCTTAAAAACTCTACAGCTTCATCCAGCACAAGGTTTAGCAATTGATCATATCCTTTGAGCGTTCCCGTAACTATCAATGGAAAACAAGATTCATAAAGCACTCTTCTTGCATTTAGAAACAGGAAGAACGAACAAAAAAAAAAACACTCGACATCAAACATTCAACTATCTGCTTGAACCTCTTGATCGTAACACATGAACATATATATGAATAAAAAGAAAAACTAATCAGAATGTAACGAATCGTATCCGAGTGGCAGTAATACAATGAAGGTATTAAAAATAAACAACCTTGTCTGCCGCCAGTGAGCTTGACTTGGACGCCTTTGTCCACAAACTTAGCCAAATCCAGAACAGTTTCTTTTCTTCCAGACTGATAAACAGACAACGAATACCACATTATACTTCGTAATCAACAATCACATATATTCTAATTGAACCAATCCATCAGAAATTTACCATCGTACAACAGTTTTCTCAGCTCCTCTGTGAAATTAAATGAACCACAAACCTGAAACATTCAAGAAATGAAACAAATTACAACGAGCGCAAACGGAAAATCCCGTATGCTAGTCGACTCAAATAAACTTGGCAAAGTTACGAGATTATGCGTCTGGAAATCAAATTGAAGAACTGAAACCAAAGAACCAAAAGAGAAGTGATTAAAACTGAAATTTATGCTGTAATTGCAGCTTACTTTTCAATGGAAGCGGTGATGAGCGCAAAGAATGTGCCCTAGATTTGCTCGTTGAGAGAAATGTGCCCTCCAAATCATGGACAGTTGGACTCCGGCCCAATTCCTCTTCCGGCCCGATTACCCGATTCGAATAAAGTGAATTACGAAAAGAAAAAAAAAAAATTAAAACGTTTTTTTTTTTATTGAGAAGTTTTAATTTTTTTTTTGTGAATTTATAAAGGTCGGTCACCCAACTCGCGATCTTCCCTTGCCCGTCGTCGGGTTGCTAGGGTTTTATCTTCAGCGGCGGAGAGTTGAGTTTTCCGGGCCGTGAACAAAAAATGGCGGATAAATAGGCCAAGGCAAGAAAAAGCGAGGTCGTCACCAGGGAGTATACCGTCAATCTCCACAAACGCTTGCACGGATGGTAACTCTCTCGTCTCTCTTTCTCTTCCAGATTTGCTGGTTTTGGTATGGTGAGAAGTACAGATGAATATGATTCAGCTGTAGGTTGATTTGTCGGCATGATTTTTGTCCTCCTGCGTTTAATTTCGTGGTTTAACCGTATGGACCCTGTTGTCATGGTTTGATGTCGGTAGATATTAAATGAGTCCTGAATTTAATGTTCTGTTCCGTTGTGGGCTGTGTTATTCAAGTGATATATTGTGAGGATTGTCGATTTTGACTGTAAACTTGAATTGATGACATTGGGGGGTCAATGTTCTTTGCTGTTCTTAGTAGTTTGTATAATTTGGACTATTGCGAGTGCAGTTGCACCTTAGCAAGTTTTATTAGTTGTGCTTGATGAGTTTGGCATCATTCTGGTACTGTTCAATTTTTTTTCCATGATAGGAGTTCTGGTTCTTAACTAACAACTGACTTAATTATATGTTATGTTCCTTTTGAAAGGGCTTCTTGCCTACATATTGTACTTATCTTGAAAGGTTATTCTTCAATTTTCTGGTCCTAGAAAAATATCCTCACGGATATGTCTGTGCTTATGTTCTATTCATTTGCTCTCGTGAGAGATACTTGGCACTTTTGTGCGTTTCATGTTTAATCCACAACATATCTGTAACAGCCCAAGCCCATTGCTAACCAATTGTCCTTTTGGGACTTTCCCTTCAAAGTTTTAAAACGTGTCTACTAAAAAGAAGTTTTCACACCTTATTAGAAATGTTTCGTTCCCCCCTCCAACCGCTAGATATTGTCCTCTATGGGCTTTCTCTTCAAGAGCTTCCTCTCAAGGTTTCAATCTGTGTGTACTAGGGAGAGGTTTACACACCCGTATAAGGAATGATTCGTTCCCCCCTCCAACCGATGTGGGATTTCATATATTTGGAAAAAGTTAAGCATTAGCATGGGGAAGGGAGAATGGGGAAGCATTGATTCAGTGAGTTTGGTTAGGGCTTGAGTGAGAGTGCTCAAGAAAAAAGGTTTAAATACCTCGAATACTTGGTTACCTTGTATCTCCGTTATCTTACATTTCAATACATTTGGGTTCTGTCATATTAGTCTTTGACTTAAATGCCTTGTTATGTACCTTTTATATCTTGAATTCTTTTAGTGACTTCTTATTCATAATAATCATGTGCAGCACATTCAAGAAGAAGGCACCGAAGGCTATCAAGGAACTCAGAAAGTTTGCTCAGAATGCTATGGGTACCACTGATTTTAGAGTTGACGTGAAACTTAACAAGCAGTCGTGGAATTAGGAGTGTGCCAAGGAGGGTTCGTGTGCGCATTGCACGAAAGCGTAATGAGGAGGAAGATGCCAAGGAGGAATTCTATTCCTTAGTAACTGTCGCAGAGGTACCTGCAGAGGGATTCAAGGGCTTGGATACCTAGGTCATTGATGAAGAAGAGGACTAAATGAGCTTCCCAAAACTAAGGTCAATTCTTGGTTTGCTATGTGGGCTTACACATCCATTTTTGACTCGAGGTTTTTTTGCAACTTTAGTAAAGAAATTAAATCAAACCCATTAGGATATTACATAACATCGACTGAGCTATGTTTGAATTGATATGTTTAAATCACTCTCGAACGGGTAAATGACCTTACTAATTAGTAAGTATATCCCTCGATTAATAGATCTGTAGGACATTGACAGGTTCGTGATGAATTAAAAGTGAAATCTTTAATTATTTTATTTTAAAATACTTATATATTTTTTTTATTATTATTATTATTGAAAGACCAGATATTAATGATGATCAATATTGTAGGACAGTGATAGCTGGCTCCATTCCAAGTTGCAACCTATGCTCTTAAATGCTTACAATTTACTTCAACTCATGAAAATTGTACCATTTTTTAATCAAGGAATTTGATTTTTTTTATTTATTTTATGTTTGATAAATCTTTAATTTTTAAAATATTTAATATATGTTCTTAAAACTTTTATTTTGTGTCCGCAATATCAATTTCTTTAAAAGAAAAATTATGTTTAATAGTATTTAAAATTTTTAATTTTGGGTTGTTGAATAAATTTGTGATTTTTTATTTTTTTAAAAATCTAATAGGTATATATTGGATACTTCTCATAAGATATATTTATTTAAAATTTTATTTTGACATTTTTTCTAGAAAGTTTAGAAATTTATTTGATTTTAAGCAAATTCTAAAAGTTAAAAAAACTTAAATTATCTTTTGGCCTTTAATAATTTTAAATAAATATATATATTAAATCATAATAAATTGTGTTAACTTAATAAATTATACTATTTATTATACTTTCTACTCAGTTCTCTCTCATACGCCTCCAGAAAGCTAATTAATGATAATACTGTCTTTCTCTCTCTACTTAATGAAAGAATATCCCTTTCTCTGTCATTTTCAATTTGCAAATAAAGAATAATTGCCATGCATTGAAACATTTATTTATTAAAAATTAAAATGAATAACCGACGAAGTTATAATTTATATTAAGTTCATTCATTTGTATAATTTCTCGCTCTATAAATAACTTTTATTGGTTTAAATTTAAAAAAAGATTTTAAACTGAAGTGATCTCTTTTCACGTGCAATGCAGCCTCCTTCAATTTTATATTAAAAACAAGGACAAAAAGGAAAAGTAAAAAAGGCATTATATTTAATTATATCTAAGATTCAGATTGCATTAAACAAAAATATATAATAACAATTGAAAATAATAAAACACACCCGACCCGATTCACTAAAAATCTCCACACAAGAATTTTATTATCACAGTTTTATAAACAAAACAACACATGCATTCGGGTCGGATCCAGGTCAATTGTTTTTTTCTCTCTTACCCGGATTTTGTCTTCAACAGGTCCTTAATGGGTTCCCACAAAGGCAATCATTGTTTGTAAACGACGACGCTTCGAGGTGGTCGAAGGGCGACCCGATGGGTATCGACCCGCAAAGATGGTTATGGCTGAGATCCAAATGGCCAACGTATTTGGCTGACGACAATGAATTTGGTATCGGACCTTTGAGAGCATTGAACGACAAGTCGAGAGCCATGAAGTACGAATCGGCGCAAAAAACGTCGGGAATGTGGCCTTCCAGAGCGTTACGGCTCAAATTCAGAATCCCTAGCCCGCCATTGCTGATCAGAGTTGGAGGTATTTGGCCGGAGATTCTGTTGCTGTCCAGATTCAGCGTCGAGAGAACCGGCATGTTGCCGATGTTCTCCGGAATGATGCCGGAGATTCCGTTCATCGACAAATCTAAATCCGCGAGGCGGTACATTTTCGTAACAGAAGACGGAATCGCTCCGGTAATTTGGTTGCGGCCGAGGAGCGCTCGGCTCAGCATGCCTAATTTCCCGAAATCGGACGGAATTTCGCCGGTGATTTGATTGTTTCGGAGATCCAGATGCTTTAAACTGCCGATGTTAACGATAGATGCAGGTATGGTACCGGAAATCGCATTGTCGGCTATGTTAAGCACGGTGAGTTTATTTAGGTTTCCGATATCCTTGGGAATTTCCCCGCTGATTTTATTTCCAACGAGGTCAAGTACGCGGAGATGGCTGAGTTTCGTCAAGCACTTCGGTATCTCGCCGGAGATTCCTTTCCAATCGGCAACAATAAGGATGGTGAGGCTATCGAGCTTGCAAATCTCCGGCGAAATCGAACCAGTCATGTACCCGGTCCGGCCGGCCTTCTCGAAGATCGGATCCTCAGACTCGCCGCGGAGGCTTATGTCAGTGACCTTGAGAGTATCAGGATCACAGCTGACGCCGTACCATCCACCGCAGCAGGAATCTCCCGTCCATGAATTGAAGATTCCTAAGTACGGCTCCTTCAACGCCGCCTTGAATGCGAGCAATGCCGCTCGATCCGACGGCGAGCAAGCGTCGACGACGGCGAAGAGAAAGAAGACAACAGGTAAGATTCTGAACAACATTTCAAACTCTGTGAAACAATGCCGTGATTTTTCTTTCTTTCTTTTCCGAAAAGGACGAGAGAGAAGTTGTTTGTGGTGAGTCTGAGTAAGATCTGCCATGGCAGCCATTGTTAAGTAGAAGAAGGAGGGAGGAGGGAAAGTTGGAGTGCAGCAGTTTGGTTTCAATGCAGATAGTGAATTACGAAAATACCCCTGGTGAAGATAATAATTACTTACACCTTTTTTCCTGTGGCACATGCCGAAACCCTGATTTAACTTTTTGAGGATAAGGAAGAAAGCTGATTCCATTTTTTATTTTTATAAAAATATTTTATTTAATTAAATTTTTATGAACTTTTTACATATTGATAAAAGAATATTATAATGATAAGGTAAAGTTGATTTTATATAGTTTCAAGGAATAAAATGATGCGTGAATTAATAATATATATGTGGGTATACCAAATAATGGTATTTATGGGACCTTATGAAAATTCAAGATTTGAAGCATATCCCTGAAATTGCTTTTGTGTGGGACCTTCAAATAATGGTATTTTTTCTTTTCCAAAAAATAATAATAATGATGGTAATAAATTAATATGTCAACGTTGTTCTTATACTCACTAATTTAAATTTTACAATTTTAGTATTAATTTGGCA